GGTTGTTCAAAAGATATTTAGCTTAAACGGTGGATAAGCCAAAATTTAAAAGTGCTCTCATACATCTTGTGAATGACTGAACCTGCATTTTCTGCATTAAATATGTACATTCATTGAAAATTAAGCTATTTACATCAAAATATTCCACCTCACTTGTACAGTAAAGAGATCATTTTGTTTTTCATTTTGAACTTATCAACCGTTTAAGCTAAACGCCTTTCGAACATCCGGCCCCTGGGCAAAAACCAAGGCGTTTCAGGGGTGACATTCAACTCGCAAAGTAATTGCTGGAAGTTTGAAACCAAGTCAGATATAATGCTTTTAACGAGTAAACCCATTGATGTCAATTCATCAATAATTTCAAATAACTTGGATTCAATCTTTTTAGAGATTAGCTTTCAGAGATCTCTGAAAAGAGATTTTATTTACAGACGGTAAATGTAGCAGGAAGATTTAAGTCTTTACTCTTTATGCTTACCCCATCCATTGTCAAGGAACACAATTTTCCTGACTCACTGATCAATTTGACTTTTCGGCGCAGCATCTCCTGTAATAACAAGTACGATCGTACTACAGGGTGTATCAAAAAAAATGTCCCAAATGTAAAATTTCCGTTTTTCAGGATATTTTGCAGAATTTGGTAATTTTTTGTGTTCCTAGAGATAGTTAAGACTTATCTGGTATACCTAGGCCAAGTTTGGTTTTTCATTAACAAAATTATGTTACCGGGGGGGTGGTTCCTTTCCACTGATATTGAGAGGGCTTGCGCGCGAAAATGTGAAGCTGAAATTGAGATATTATTTAGCTGTCTAAAAGTAGGAAAGCTTTTTAATAAACTGTCAAAGTTTCAGGAAAAATAATGCAAACTGAGAGCAACGTGCGACTCCTAAAAGTGACAAATATTTCATTGCGCGCAGTGGATTAATTGCATGGTTGATTTTAGCGTGACCGATCTCATGCAAGGCTGGGCAAATGAATAAATTAAAGCGAGAAACTGAACAAGAAGACGAAGCGATTTAATAATAAGATTCTTATTCTTGATGTTAATCCTCAACATTTCCACCATTTCTTTCTAAGCAAACTGCGGCTCGTCTGAGCATGGTAAACACTGAACGGCGAACCACATTTGTCTGTCCTGCCTCAAATTATCCATTTCGTTCAAAATTCTTTCTTGCAAATCGCCTACGCTACCACCGTCAAATCTAGGCGAATGGACAGACAAATGGTTCGCTGGTCAGTGTTTAGTATGCTCAGACAAGCCGCAGTTTGCTTAGAATGAAATGGTGGACATGCTGAGGATTAACATCACGAATAAATCGCATTGTTTTGTGTTCAGTTTCTCGCTTTAATTTATTCATTTGCCCACCTTGTACGAGATCGGTCACGCTAAAATCAACGATGCATTTAATCTACTGCGCGCAATGAAATATTTGTCACCTTTAGGGGTCGCGCGTTGCTCCCAGTATGCATTATTTTTCCTGAAACTTTGACAGTTTATTAAAAAGCTTTCCTACTTTTAGACAGCTAAATAATAATTTAATTTCAGCGTCACATTTTCACGCGCAAGCCCTCTCAATATCAGTGAAAAGGAACCACCCCCCCGGTAACATAATTTTGTTAATGAAAAACCAAACTTGGCCTAGGTATACCAGATAAGTCTTAACTATTTCTGGGAAAACAAAAGTTTGCCAAATGCTGCAAAATATCCTGAAAAACGGAATTTTTACATTTGGGACATTTTTTTGATACACCTAGTGGACCAGGAACTGCGTGACCGAGTTTCTGAACTGCATTGTATTTACAACAATAGAGAGGACAATGTATTTCTAATCGTTTGCGTATTCTTATATATAGGCTGAATATTAATGATATGTGTATATTATTTGCCGCACATATAGTCAAGAATTGCTTGTAACTTGCTTCAACGGTCAAAAGTAAAAATTCGAACTCCGTCAATCGATGCGGAATATTGCTTAGAATAATTGTGCCAAGTTTCATTCCGATCAAACAAGTAATGCTAGAGCCTTAGGGTTTTTTTAAAGGGCGTCGCCCCCTAACAACAACAACAACAAGATTAGCAGCGGTTAGGGACCAGTTCCTGGTCCAACAATTAGTCTATTATAAGTGTCTGGTGTGTGTAATATAAGTGTGTAATATAACTGCTAACCATTAAGCAAAATACATAAAGTTACAGATTAATTTGACAGTTACTACGACTGTAAAAGATCATTCTGAAATGAGTCAAATCTATATACAGTACCTACCTTTACAACTTTGGAGAATCCAGAACATGCAGGTATCCTCGAAACTCATCTTTTTAATGTGCTTCTTAATGGAAGGCAAAAGAACTTGCTAACCATTCTGTAAGCTTTCCCACTCAAGTGGAAAAGAGATAACGCAAACGACTTGATCTCCTTGGAATATCTCTGACCTTTATTCTTCCTTTGATGTAGATCAATCTGATGACTAATGAAATTTACAACATTCTCTGGCAGCATAGTTTTTAGTGCATTCAGTGTGGTTTTTCCATAGGTAGCCCAACACTCGTGTTCCGCGCGCGTACACGCTACTCAGTGATTAGCATATATTAATTAATCCTATTGGCTGCTCTCTCATGGAGCAATCTTCGGAAATTTTCCGACTTCTCAGAAACCAATAGGATAAATAGGATTGACTCGGGATTTCTCCGAAGGTGACGTAATGTAGGGTAAATTGGATCCCGCCTATCGACAAGAAAATTTCGACAATGTATTTTCAAAAACTTTATTTTAAATGAATAAATTTCCGTATTTCCCAATACATTTTGAAGCTAAAAACTATGTCGGAATTTAGAAAGTATATCCAAGTTCATTTATATTTATTAATTTTGCAGTATTTTGTGGTGGTTTTTCAGTTTTTATCGAAGTTTGACATGTATGTATGTATGTTATATATTATTGATAATTGGTGATAAAGTTGCCAACCTTAGGATAAATTAATATAATTATGCTAATCACTGAGTAGCGTGTACGCGCGCGGAACACGAGTATTGGGCTACTATGGTTTTTCTATCGATATTCTTTTTCTTCTTTTTTATGTTACACGGTGCAATTTCTCTTGCAACTTGCAATGCAATCCTACTTTTAAGAGATGTGAATTAGAGTTTTTAAAATGTAAGAAACGTACATGGAGTGTAATAAACATAAAAGATTCGTAGTGGCCAAATTTACGTCTCTGAAAAGTAGAATTGCATTGCAAGTTGCAAGAAAAGTTGCAACGTGTAACCTTTATCATCATTATTTGCTACTAACAGCGTTTAAACTAGAAAAGGTTAAATAAAGGGAAAATGTTTTGGTAGAAACGTTTTACCTACCATTTTGACATTTGATGGTATAGTATGGTGATTATGTATATTCTCAGCTATAGGTTGGAGGATGAAAGGTCTTGTTGAAACCGGCGTGCTGATGTCGCCTTTAATGAGCCGTTAGAAGAATCTAAGGTGTCATAATAATTTTAAGAACTCAAAATGTAAACAGTTTCGAACGTTTCAAACGACAATTAGGATAAATGTTGTGTTTTTGTAGCGTTATTTGACATATCTTTCTGCATGTAATTAAATTTGACGCGTAGCTGGTGTGTTATTAATAGCTTTTTTTTTATTGCCTAAATTTTTGTGAGATTATAGTTAACTTTTGTTAATACATTGCATGTAAAAATATAGTTTATAAACTTTACATTTATATTTGTAAACAAACCGTTTCGTACTAGATATGGCGTCCTTTGTCGCCTCCCAGCTGTATTAAGAGTTTCCTTTTCATACCAATTTGTGGCGGCGGGTTTGGGACAGAGTTGCAAAAAAGCTGCGGGTACCACCCGGAGGAAGGTTTGCTTTGAACGAGGTTTGTGAGGAAGGTTCAAAGTTGAACACTCTAATTGATCACGTGCATGTACCAAAAACCAAATATTTCTTCATACTGGTTCTCACTTGACTCAGTGACGTAACGTCATTTTGAGGAAGGTAGTCAAAACTTGAAATCCTACCGGAGGAAGTTTGAACTCGGCGATAAAAACATTTCATCCTCGAAAGGAGCGGCACATATTTTTATGTCATTGTATAAATAGTCGAAATCTTTGTTTACCAAGTCATTTCGTCTTGTATTAATACCCATCTTTTTGACCAGATTAGTAAAACATTTTACAACTGATTTGTGAGAAAAAAAACACGAGAAAAATTTATAGGGTAAAATAAAGTAAACAATTTATAAAATGTATAATCTTGCTTGGTCATTTGGGAAGTGGAAAAAAGCTATATCTTTATTTTTCCTTTATTATTATTGCAGACTGCAGTAGAAAACGATTCGACGCCTCTTGGGAAGAGTTTAAACAGGCTGTACAGTACAATATTTGGTCAAAGTCTAAAGAGCGTATTGACAAGACCATTTCCACGATGCCAAAAAGGTTACAACAAATTGCTAAAACCAATGGAACGCGTACAAAATACTGAAACATTTTATTGATAATAAAGTTTTACACTCCACAGTATGTACATTATATCCCAACATTGCCAACCACTGCTTAAACAACTCATGTATTCTTTGCCGAATAGTCAATAAATGCTTAACGTTTAATTGTTTACATGTACTTTTGAAAGATTACGAGGCAGTTCAACCACACATGACAGCCCGTGGCCGTATTACTGCTATTCCTCTGCACAGCGCAACAAAATTTTAAAGTCACTGCGGCACATGTGCCGGGAAAGGAAAACGGTATTGCTGATGCCCTCTCTCGGTTTAAAATGCAGGTATTTCGCCCCTGTTTGTCTCAGGTGTCTTCGTTTCTGTTAGGGTAAAGTAGGGATATTTTGGAAAAAGATTTGGAATTACCAATGATAATGCGGGATAAATGTGTGCGTAGTAATTTTTTGCTTTATGTTGTAATTTCTGTCACCTAATTTGGTAATTGCCCTTCAGAAAACCTGGTCAGTGGTCACACTGCAGTGACTGCACCGAACAGTGATACGACAAGTGCAGAACTCGCATTTTGGTAACAGATTCCAGGTCCAGAAGGATGGCACAGGAGAGCGAATACGAGTTAAAACGAAAACAAAAGATTAAGGAAAATAATGAAATAATGCGAACGATATTTGGCGAAGCTCTTAATTTCCCGAATGCAAGTGAAAACCGCTTATCCGCTGCACGAACTACAACGCCAACAGCACGTGCGAAGTCCTGCGACCCTTGTTTGCCTTATGCCGCTGGAAAGCAGAGAGTTTTAACGCCACTACGCCGAAATCCTAAACGTAGTGCTCGATCATACAGTACTGATGACATTATGGGCTATAGTGATGCGTCGGATGATGATGACATTATATCTGAAAATATTCAGAATAGATTGTTCGTGCATTGGATTGGGCCTTTAACCAAGAAGAGACGGATAGAAGGTAAATACCGACGTTCATATGACGATGAATGATTTTAAAATCATCTTACCCTTTTTTTATTATTAATCATTATTGCGACAAATTATTGAAAGAAACATTTCGAATGCAGTACGAATAGCAAATCACACTCGGCGTACTGTTCCAGTACGAATAGCCACTTCGTTTCCCTTAAATTACCTGACATATCTCGATATCTGATGTTGTCCTGTAGTTACATGGCATATTACCGTCCTGCAAAAGATTTTAAATTTTAAACCGGGGATTTTGATATGCTAAATACCAGCCACTTTGCTATCAAAATATTAGCTCTCAAACAAACAGGACAAACCTTGTTAGTGTATGGTTATTGTCACCAGAAATCTCATGACAGTTGTGTGAAGGGTGAAAAATTAGCAGCAGAAAGGTATACTCCCTCTTTTCTGAAAAGGAGGGGACATTATTTTTTAAGAGATTTTCAATGCATAGTTTCTGCAAATAAAAATGTGTGATTTGATTGCAACCCCAATCCTTTATAAGAAACTTTATGCAACAAACTTTTTGAGACATGTATTATTATAAGATAAATTTATAATCAGACTGGCAGATCTAGGGTTGGGCAGAATGAATTATGTGGCTTAATTTTAAATTTAAAATATCTTAAAACAAAGCTATTAGTTTGGAATTTCTAAAGAATATTTTCAAATAAAATTTACCAGTTGGAAACTCTAGTAATTCATTCTGCTTTATTCTGGATCCAATACTGCTTATAAATTATAATCACCTTTAGGATGTAATTCCTAACTAATTAGAATCACTGTCATCATACTAGGATTTTTTTTCAAACCAGTCAACCCATTTATTACATACTCACAATGATTTTTGCAGTGGTGTCAGTGTAGCTAACATTTTTTCCACAGTTTAATATAAAGGAGGGTCTTGGACAAAGATCCAAATCTCCTTTTCCACCAAGTATTCTAGGAAAATCACATTTCCATAGCACTTAGGGCCTGTTCATATGAGATGGACAATAAACCGGGATCTCACTTCGCATTTTATTTCACTGTATTTGTAAAATTGGATTCATATAGAATGGAATCAGTCCGGCTTTGTCAAGATCTAGCCTGGGATGAATCGTGATCTTGCCTTTAAAGCAGGCACATATAAAAACATCAAGTAGGCTAGCAAAAGCAAGGTTAAATGGGCAGGCCCATCTTGTATGAACAGGCCCTTAATGTGTGAATTATTTAAAACAGTTGTAGTTGATTGATATTAGAAGCATATTCTACTAAGCAGCAATGTTTGGAAGGTTGTTTCCCTAAGGTCTCTCTTTAAAAATACAGTAAATACTTTGCTGTTGCACCGGAGAAAAGGTTCTTTCAACTACCAATGCCTTACACACCTTGTGTCTGTAGATGTACATATGCAGTCCCATTAATTGTGAGAACATATGCAATCCATTAATTTCTAACTTAGTGTTAATTCCAAAAGTGTTAATTTTTTAGCTTATTTAATCCTTTTATACACATTTTGAAAACCTGGCAAATGTTTTACTGTACATTGAAAAGGAATACATTTGGACCTAAAAATTCTGAGTATGTCTAAGAATAGGAATATGTCTATATTCACAGGTAGAGCTTTTAATTATGTACAGTTTGCCTGCCAAACATGTTTATGATGATTAAATAGGAACCTGGTGAAACATTTCTATAATAATTCAAAATATGTAGTCAACCCAAGTTCCCATTTACTATTTTAGGGCCCTCATCAGTAAATTTGAATAGGTGCATTGTTTCCAGGATATAAAACTTGTTGTGGGGACTCGTGACTGTTCATGTTCAGTTTATGTTTTCAGATAAATGAACTCCCTGTATGGTAATTAAAGCCATTTACCCTTTTAGTCGTTTAGTATACGTGTTGTGAAAGATGTTGCCCTTTCATGTAAAAAAATTGAAAATTTCATCAGTGTAGACCATATGACAGCTACTATATATGCACCACATGCCAAACGTTTGTGAAAATGTTTTCAGTGACAATGTTACAATGTTAAGTTTCTTTGACACTTTGTAGTATTTTGATGAGTTACAAAAACAGTACAAACTAATAAGTCATGTTAGTTTTGAAACGTATTTAATTTTATATGTGTTTTTTAAAGAGTTCCGAAGGTAAGCACATGCAGAAATTCACTAATAGAGCTCAAAAATTATGTTTAATTCTACGTTATATATCTCTGGAAGTGTTGATCATACAAACCGATGTGGCCGCTTCGCTTTTAATGCAAATCAAAAAATTTAAAACGCCATTTTTCTTCTTTTTCAGAATCTCAGCCCGGTGTTACAGGAAATTTGCCCCCCTTCGAAAATTTGCTCTCCCCCGGGCCAAATTTTCTCGGAAATATGCCCTAGGAGATTTGGCCCTAAATATCCTAGGAAATTTGGCCCTCCCTTCGGAAATTTGGCCCCCTCTTGAGTTTCAACTTACAAACAGCACTGACGGATTTTATATGGTGCATGTTACCTGTTTTTGTGTTTGCCGATTGTTTTTAAACGTTTTTATGCAAATTTGTATTAATTACTCCCCAAATGTTAGCCGTATGCAAATTACCACTTTCGCTAACCATGTTGTCGTCGCTTGCTAAAGTGTGGTTGTTATTCTGACGAATTTCATATTAGGTTCAGAAACTTGTTGAATATTGAGTCAAAAGTTCGCGATTTCAAAACTATATCTATTTTATATATATATTGAGAGTATAAAGTATGTTATCGTGGGGGACCAAATTTCCGAACTGTGAAATTTGTCCTCCGCAGAAATTCTTAATTTGGCGACCTTATGAATTATAGGCTTAGCGGTTATACATACATAGGAAAGGTTGTTTTAGGAAATTACCACTTATTTATTTATTTTTCGATTAAAGCTCCTAGTAATGTTATGATAATCCTAGAAGTTAGCCACGTGCACATTAACAATATTCGTCTTAGCTCTTCGCCGAGATGAAAAGTTTTTACACAAATAAATGAAGCAAACTAAGTATGAATACAAACAAACATTTACGATCTTGCTTTTAGAAGAAGCTTCGCGATTCTCGAACTCATGGATATAAAGTATATGTTTTTGAGGGAGCCAAATTTCCGAAAGGGGGGCCATATTTCCTAGGAAATATGGCCCGGGGGGGCCAAATTTTGGGGAGGCCAAATTTCCTGGGACATCGCGGGCTGAAATTCTTGTCATGTAATCGTTTGCGCGATTTTGTTAGGATTTTATAACAACCCAGTGAGTCAGCCCGGGCTGAAAACATTCCATGCATGTAATCAGCCCCTTATTAGCTTTACGAAGAATTTTTGTAAAAAACTAAAAGATGGCCATTCCAGAGAAAACTTATGAGAATATCCTTATTAGTCTAGGACCTGTAAAGGAGTTTGTATGCATTTCATTTAGGACAGATTATCTCAACTGTTTTAGGGTAAAATGACCATGGTGGTCAACATGGCATATGTGCCAAAATGTGAATCCGGGACGAAAGTCCTGAAAATGACCACACCCAGAAACAGCATAGTCGACATAGCTCTAAATCCTGAATTATCCAAGCTACAGTCTTTCTGAATTGTTTATATAGTTCAGAATGGTTGCTTTTAGAGGTGGTCACTGGAGAGTAAAATTAGCCTAAGTTTCATATTTTACAAGAAAATGAATGTTTACTATTCCAGGTCAACTGCTAATTATGCATAAAATTACAGATTCACCTGGCAAAGTCTAATTTTCCCTATTTTCTAAAAATTTTTGCCATATGATGAAAAAACATGCTTATTCTAATATATTTATTATAAATTTCCTTGGAAATAACAATGTTTTGTTGCGATACGACATATTTCATTTCACTTACCCCCCGCCATAACACGATTTCAGCCACATTTTGCAAATTTGATCGCCGTTTTTCGCCGTCCGTCGCAAGCACCATCCAAATACTGTACTTTAGCACGATTCTAGTGGACTAAAGAATTATTCAACCAATTTTCGAAGGGTTTTGAAGTAGTGCCATGTAATATTTTTTCATTTTTGTGTCCCTTGACATTTCATCAATTATGTCTCCATTGCCATGTCTCGGCGCCTTTCTGCACGATAAATGCCACTTCTTGATCCCCAGCTGTATTTTTTTCGCGAGAAGGCGGATTTAAGTTGCGGAAGTGGACTTCAAATTCGAGTGTGTTTCGAAGTCAGGTAGCGTTAGATCAGCAAGGAAAGGAAGAAGAATTCACTACTGCAGAAAATCGTGAGGGCGAGTGTGTTAAAACCCTCGGGAGCGAAAGCGAGCCGACAGAAGTTCAAACGGAGGGCAAGAAAACTATGCGAGATCGCGTGGACGAGTCAAATGATTCGGACGGTTTGAACATTAAGGATTACTTCCAAAACGAACACAAAAATCTTAAAACTATGAATGGAAACGAAGACAGTTCTGTTAACGTTCTCGGTGTTCCGTGGATAGTGCACTCTGATGAATTTTTGAATCGGATTTTCAGACGCCTCATGTAAAGCGTATGCAGCGGTAGCGTATTTACGGACGGTGTATATTTATGGCGGGACCGACGTCGAAAACTAGGGTTCCACCGGTAAAGAAACAATCAATCCCCAGGCTCGAACTGTTGGGGCAGTTATTTTAGCGAGGCTTATTACGTGCGTGCGAAAAGGCATTACGTCTTTACCGGTGGTTACAAGGGTGGTATGTTGTAGATGTATTCTTATAAAGGGCTATGCTGGATTCGTAACTCGAAGACCTGGAAGACGTATGTACAGAATCGAGTGAACGAAATACGGAAACTTACTACAACCGAACAATGGAAATTTTGTCCCGGAGAGGTCAACCCGGCAGATATACCCTCAAGGGGATGTAATGCGTCAGAGCTTGCGGAAAATAAAACGTGGTGGAATGGCCCAGACTTCCTGAAACAATCCGAAGATCATTGGCCACTCGATCCAGACCACAATGAGAAAGACGAACAACGAACCACCGAAGAATTGTCCAAGTCACAAACCGAAGTAACAAGATCGTTAGCGACGGTTAACACAAATTCGACTCTTAATCTCGATAAGATTATAGATTGTACTCGCTATAGCACGAAATTGAAGTTGTTACGAGTCACTGCGTACGTACGGAGATTTATCGATAAGACTCGACGTGTGCGAATTACATCGGTGGAATTAACTGCCAAGGAAGTGAACGAAGCAGAAAGATTATGGCTACGCTCTATACAATATGCTCATTTCGTGGATGAATCCAATCATTTGCTTGAACCGAAGTGTAAAAAACCTCCGCTCGTGAAGCGACTAAGAATATTTCGGGACGAAGAGGGACTGATACGTTGCCAAGCTAGGATCGAACAGTGGTTATCAACCGTGTCAAAAAATGCCAAACAAGCTGTTCTTCTTCCAACCAAACATCGTTTCACCGACCTTGTCATTCTCCAGCATCACACATCGGTGCATCACAATGGTATCAGAGAAACTTCGAACAGCGTGCGAGAAATTTATTGGATCGTGAGTGGTCGAGAAGTAGTAAAGCGTGTGACAAGAGCTTGCATCGTGTGTAAGAGATTCGAGGATAAGCCATTGGGAACTCCAAAGGCTCCACAAGTCGAGTTAGAGACGCTCCTCCATTTGCCAACGCGAGGATCGACTTCGCGGGCCCAATATACGTGAGTACGAACGGGAAAAACCAAACAGAAGAAGAAAGGAAAAAGGCATACGTTTGAGTGTTACCATCGAGAATATTATCGGACAATGCAAAAACTTTTAAAGGAGCTGAAAAAGAGATCAAAAAGATAACGAGATCTACCGAAGTGCAACGATACCTGACCAATAAAGGAGTAACGTGGGAGTTCATAATCGAAAAGGCCCCTTGGCATGGGGGGTTTTGGGAAAGGATGGTTATGCGTGAAGCAATGCTTAAAGAAAGTCGAGGGTCGGGCATTTTTGTCCTTTGAGGAGATGAGGACTTTGCTGATCGAGATCGAAGGAACTTTAAATAACTGACCCTTAACTTACGTTTATGACGATGAACAAGGCGTCTCCTATCCATTAACGCCTTCTTCTCTGATTTATGGCCGTACAACTGCATGCAACCACTGCAAATGACAAGCACAATGAGATCGTTGGCACAAATCAATCCCTTACGCGAAGAGAAAAGTATCATCGGAGGCTGTTGGAGAATTTCGCTAACCAGTGGAGAGCTGAGTATCTTTTAAGTCTATTGGAAACCGCTAGAACGACATCGGGATCGGGCCAAATCGTTGTAAACGAAGGGGATATGGTGATTCAGAAATCAGATCGGACATCACGCGCCTTTTGGAAGGTGGTGAAAGTTGAAGAGCTAATTCCAAGTGTAGATAACGTTGTTCGAGCGGCAAGAATTCGTGTGATTAACGAGAAAAGTGGGAAACCGTCATGTCTGAGAAGACCTATCCAACATTTGATTCCACGAGAGAATTTTGAAGACAAACAGGAGGGCGAAGCGGGTGTGACCGAGGCAGCAATGGCCAACGATGCTGAACGAAAGAACATATTGAAACATTGTTGAACTTTAAAACCGTTTATATTGTTATTAGTTTTATATCATTTCTTTAGACGAATAATATCCTCGGGAGTGTGAGTAACTTCCGGGTTTTGCCATATTAGGAAATAGGAAACAAAAACGTGCGATACATCTAAGAAAGGTTTTGGGGAGAATGTAAAACACTGCAGTGAACTAGCTGCTACGATGTTTTTAGTTTATTTTATTTTGTCTGATGTTTTGGGTGTATTAATATTAAAGATAAATTAACACCATCATTTACGATCGAGTTTATTACATAATTCCACGTTGCTTTGATCTCAGGGAAAACTCGTATATTAGAGTTAACTATTCACGTAATAAAATATATAGGAGTTTCCCTGATGTCAAAACAACATGATTGTATAACATCGCTTAGGATCTTTTTGTCGACAGTTTGGGTTCTCATGAGGTGTTGTCGCTACATGTCCAAAGTTTTTTATTCTTTTATAATATAGCAGTATGAATATAAGTCTCAAATGGCCATCTTTTAGAATTTTATATGAACTAAAAACAGCGACGAAATCTGCGAAACAATGCGAGTGATGTTCAGCTTACTTTACTTATTTCTAGCCGTTTGAGAACTCAAGCCGTTTTTATTACCATCATTTTGCGATGCTGTTACAATAAAACTCTCATTTACGGCTATGTTCTTAACAATATAACAAAGAAAAATGGCTGTAAATTTTTCGTTTTTCTATAAAGGGGCTTCGCTTTGTTTGAAAACTAGTCAGTTCATAACAAGTGTAACCAAACATAACAATTCTAACGGTACTTTAGCAATTCAAAATATAAAACTAGCAGACTGCACAAAATTATGCTAAGGATTTCTTTCCACTGTCGCGTTTTTTGTACGTACATATACGCGTGTAGAAATTTAAAATCATATAAATAATATTTTGGAAATCAACGATTGAATAGATGCATAAGGTTGGATTCTGTTGATGATATGATTTTTTTTTCTGGCATAAAATTAATTATACAAATATATAGTCGGCATCTGAATTGTTTATACACTTCAGAGCATTTACACCGTCACTGCATCGCTCTTCTTCGTCTAAGGTCTGCTTTTAGTATCATAGATATATAAAGTCAAAATTAATGTTGTCAGTAATGTATTTTAAGTTCAGAAATTCTCTAGCTATAAAATGGTTGATTCTCGTGTTATAAATGTTTAAAACAATGCCTTATCGCCCCTTTCGTCATTCTACCTTCGTGAATATTGATGAAGATCGGATTGCACATCCGCATTGACGTCGTTCCAGAAGAAATCCGGTGTTTCGGGGGAAATTCCTTTACAACAGATAACAGATATGCACACGATGAAAGGGGAATCTTAGAAAATTTGCAGTTAGGACCTTGATTTTTTTGTGACTTTTGCCATTATATAAGACAACTAAAATTGATTAATAAATACCTTTTAATCATTATGGACTATATCAATAGCTATGCCTAAATTACTAAAAATACAAATACAAGACACCCCCGAAAAGTTTACACTCTGAATGCATAACTGACTGACTGTCTCGATTGAATTTTGGCTACTCATCACAATACTGCAAAGTTTCAAAGAAACTTTCAAAATTCATCCGCATTGACAATTAAACGACTCATGAACCTTCAGCTTTATACCCGATAGCCGTGTCGTGGAAGATCGTTTAGTGTGTGCATGTGTGGGGGGAGGCACTCGTATTAAATATCCCCCTTACTTAGCTTAGAGCGGTTTTATAGAAATATTTTTGAGTAAGCGATTATTACTCTTTGTTTTTTAATTTAGACAACAAATCTAGTGTTAATGGCGTCATTAGCGAATTGAGCCACAAACATGTGAAACCTCGTCCTAGAATTATACAGCATCTAGTGAGGCCCGTATCTGATTTTACCGAGGAAGACCTTTTATTAGTTGCTGAGACTGTAGCAGATAAACGGTATGATTCAATTAATGGGTCATCCTGTCATCAATGTCGTCAAAAAACTGATGACTTGAAAACTGTTTGCCGTAATGAAAACTGTGTTGGTATCAGAGGGCAATTTTGTGGTCCATGCCTAAGAAATCGTTACGGAGAGAGTGTTAAAGAAGCTATCATGGATCCTGACTGGATTTGCCCGCCATGCAGAAATATATGTAACTGTAGTTTCTGCATGAAGAAAAGAGGCCGAAGATGTACAGGCCAGCTGATTGGTGTTGCTCGACAGAATGGATATACAGATGTTAAATCATTTCTTGGTGATTAGAGAACTAATACTTTTGACAAATTGGAAAAACGTTTTTGCATTATTGCATACATCGCCCTATATCGGCATTTATATCTACTAATACATTTGCATGCTTTCAGCACTTTCGGCCATATATTGCATTTGTTTCAATATTATAAATTTTATTGCCTATTAAAGTAAAGTTAAAACCAGTAGTTTCATCAGTACAGCTTTACAGTGAAAAAAAATGGCAATACGTTGTTGCCAAATTTTGCATAAAGTGTGGTATAAATATACTATTTGATATTATTTTGGAAAGAGGTAACGCTTTTTCGCGCGTAATACTAGAATTTATTTAAAATTTGGTAACTTCGCACGGCCCAATATATACACTTGTTATAATTTAAAATTTCGCAATCATGCAAACGACCTGATTTCAGTACTAATTTTGGGATCCGCGTTTCAGCTGTACATCTCAGAATGATCTATTGAGTATGTTAGCCCCCCCCCTCCCATGCAGCAGAAAAAACACGCAACGCGTGGATCCCACGCGGAACGTCGAAAACTGTCGGATTATATCGCAGATATGCGCTATTCACGCGTGAGCAGAATAATGTGTGGAGTGGTGCAAACAATGTATATTATTATGCATTACTAATGCAATCTCGATTGTTATTGGCTAAAAACCTACAGAATTCTTAATGTCTTGCCACCTACGTGACATTGAAAATTATTGGTAGGTGATGTAATTTTTTGCCGCTAGTTTGTTGTCAAAAATGGCGCAGGCTTCCTCTGTAAAAAGGAAATACATAATAAAACAATTATTGAATTCGCTTTTTTTCATGATATCGAGAATTATCAAACCTCAGTTTGCGTATCCTCCTCAGCTTCGTTTCGGCGAATAACGCAAACTTCGGCTTGATAATTCTCGATATCACACTCAACCTAATCCAATAATTGTTAAATAACTAGGTTACCCATGCGGTAGAAATAAATAAATTCTTGATAAATCTGGAGAAGCTGCTGCAGTTTAACTTTGATCCAAAATTTTTTAGATCTTTTTCAGATGCTAAAAAGTAAAAATATAAATTAAAACATGCAGTACTTCAAATTTAGTTATTTATACGAACCGTTATCCTTATTCATAGCTGCGTTGGGTTTTGTTTTTTCAGACTCTAAAAATATAATTTATGATTAACAAGGATACCCACCTGTGTGAGTGAATGAGCAATAATAAACATTTGCTGTCACCATTCATCATCATTTAGCAAACATGGTATCTGCAAATTCATAAGTTTCATAGACATCTGAGAATAGGGTTTGAAGAGCAAGAGTATTGCAAAACTATAAAATGTGCAAAATGCAAACACATATATTACGTACCAATCTCTCCACCGGCTAAATGACTGATATCCATTTCTAAAGCGAAAACAAGTTAAATAGTTCATATTGATTACACTGAAACAAAACTTCAGATCAGGTGTTCACTCAAGCTGTGGGGAACACTTTGACCAAACTCACACTAAAGTCCCAATATCACACGTCTCACATCACACAGTTTTATAGATTTCTTGTTTACTCCCCTAAGTCTCAAGTACCAATAACAATAATAAAAAACCTCCAAAAGTATCCCTAACTCACATGACGTAATCACCTAATTTACATAACTCTCCCCCATGTGACTCCAGGATGGAGACATGCAAAAAGGAAACTATATGATTTAATAAAGTTTTAAAGTGCCTATATCAACCTCAGGGAAATAACCTACTTAGATAGATTAGACGATTTTAAGAACATTTCAATATATTTGATAAGACGAAAATTTGATCTTCATGTACTTTTCGGGCCTCAAAGTTGGCTTTTTTCGTGTTTGACCGCGAGGTGCTGTGAGTGGGAACTAGTTGCCCTTTGTCACCGGAAGTGACGTACATTGGAGAACACGCTAATTTTGTAAACAAGAAACACGCTTTGAAATATGGAAATATTGCGGCTATATAAAAGTGCGAAATCTTGTAGTATATAGACTTTTTGGTTCGTTTTTCGCTAAAACGACGTCGTCAAGTTTTTCCAACAACTTAGACAGCCAACTTTATTCGGATATTTAATTCATCCCGGATTATGTATTGCCAATATTGGAATTTGAAGACGATGCGATACTGTTGCTTCAAGAGACAGTACGCCTACACATGACGGTTTATATCAACCTTACAAGACAAACCGATTGCTGACCGTGGCGAGTATAATGAAGACTAAAAGAGGGACGTGTACATGAAGAAAGAAGGCAGCTTCTTTTATTCGCAAAACAGCCGGACTATCCCAGTGTCAGATTGGTAAGTGAAATATATAAAGGCACTATATCATTACATATAAAGCACTACATATACTGACTTTTCACCCTATTGTTTCACAATCAATATAAATATATGTTTTTGTAGGTGCAAATGTAAAAATTCCAAGATCGATCTCTTGGTAAATGAAAAACAGGAGCGTTGAAGCGTTGAGTGGAGAACTTGTCTTACAAGAAGTTGGAGAAGTCCCACACTGCATAACAATGCGCCCTGGTCGTTGCGTCTGTTTGATAACATTGATGGAAGGAAGTATAAATGTGCAAGGTGATTAAAATAGGCAAGTATTCAACAATAACTATTGGCTAATATGCATGTCCATTAGCCATTTCAATTCAAACATGATAATTACTCCGGCGTCAGCGACGGAGTTGAAAATTCGCCCCGGTTTTGTTTTGTTTTGTTTTTGTTTTTTTTTTTTTTCGTCGTCGCAAATCAGAAATGGCGCCAAACATTCTAGTATCTGAAATGTGTATGTGACCGTATTTATCTACGTCCAAGTCTTATCTCCCAAGAGTTGTGGTGCACAGCTTTGGCTAATTTTCCAATGCGCGATTCGATTTCGCTCGCATGATACGGCAATTCCTCCAAGAGGAACAAATAAACCGTTCTTTTCATGCTGTTCGATTAAGTTTAGATTGAATTGGGGTAGAAATATATTTAATACATGTAGATTCCGGTCCTATTTTAATAATATCGCTGCTATTTCGCCGTTTAACAAGATGTGGTCGTGTATGGGCGCGTTGACACGTCGCGTAGTTTGCACAGGATCGAAGATTTAATATACTATATAAGCGCGAATTCCAAAGGCAAAGTGTAAGGCCTCTTTTCCACTCATCGTAAAATCAACTCGCAAGATCGCTGCGAGTTCTTGCATCTAATTAAAATAGACTGACAAGCATTGTGATTGGACGAAACTAATCGCAGCGAGCTTGCGAGTAAGTTTTTGCGATGAGTGGGTGAGGGCCTTAAGACGAAGCGAATGTATCATGCGGTTTATTTACATTTTTGAACAATGGAACTTCTATACTGCGATGTGCTTCTGAATTTCGCGATCGAACATTTAGGTTCGCATGGCATCCAAATGCGAGTATGTATGCGAAACAATAGGCGAACTGTATTGTTTATGTTCAGAAGCTCTATATTGAAGACTGGCACGTGCGCCGGAGTTAACGCCAGAACGGCGTCTTGTTTAGAATAAGTTCTCAATACTTCACATTGATCTACAGGGTGTCCCAAAAAAAACGAAAACTATTGAAATCACCCATAACAATGCAATTGTTAGAGTTTGAATGCCTAAGCACTCTGTTGGGACCAATAGGTGTATAAATGTTTGCCATGTAGTCATTTTTATGCATGCATATGATGCAGTAAAATTTGCTTGTTCGCAAAATGATATTTATGTAATGTGATTTATTTACGCATAGATATATTGCCAGCCATGAATTTTGCATACCCTTTCCGCAGCTCAGTTTTCTGAGCATAATAAAGACACATTAAATTTTACGCCGTTTTGGGATAATTTTGGCTAGGAGTAATGGTTCTCCTAGCCGCTTTATTTCTGTTAAACAAAACGATATTTATTAATACATTGCATTAAAATTCCAAATATTTACGCTCAGAAAAGGGTGGAGGCAAATTACCGCCAAAACAACGAAGCAAAGCAAGTTGACCCCACCCCAAGGAAAGGGATGCATGCAGAAAGTTTCGTAATACAATAATACAGGATCAGCGGTCTGCGCGACCTTATAAACGAACATGGGCAAAAAGGCACTTACAAAGCCCGTGAAAAGGCATAGATTATCGCCCTTGCTGATAATCGACACTGATTATCACCCTTGCTGGTAAGCTACATTGATTATCACCCTTGCTGATAATCTACACTTAACTGATATTAGTTTAGCAGAGTCACAACATTACCGCGCCAAGAAGAAGCTTCTCCATCACCCTGTTATAAGCACTTTATTTCCTCCCCCAGAATGCAAACGATCGCCCTTGCTGACCATGTGCAAGTTGAGGAAGAAATAAAATAGCCGCACAATTCGAGCAGAAAACTCCCCGCAAGTTTTCCGCTCGAAAATTCATCCAAACTATGTTGATAGGGAAGAAAAACGTATATATTTGAGGAATGCGTTCGATTTCCAACGCCCCATAGTTCGAATTTGGGCATCCGAGTGCCCGTGTTCAGCTGCGTGGGAGGCGGCGCCTATTCGAAATGAATGAGACTTATATTTGGAAGTATCGAGTCCACAGAAGCGGAAAGCCTTTTTAAGAAGATTGGCAAACTCGTCACATGAGACTGGAATGCCCAGTTGGGATAGAAAAATAGCTCCGGGCTGGGCACCTCGCAAAATCATGTACTCCTCTAATAAGCGAACAGGACAGCATGCCGTTTGCCTGTGAATTTCCAAACTAAAAGGTCTACTGTTATAATTGTGCTTGAAATCCTCGAAAGTCAACCTTATGCCTGCAACCCGGCCATCATCGGAAGATAGTTTGGAGAGTTGTCGCAATTGAAGGGGTTGGTTATTTGACTTCTTAGTTATTTCTCCAATTCTCAGGAACGCGAAAAATGCTAAAGAGCACATTGCCCGGAATTGACATATTTGTACGGTGACCCAGCAATATGAGGCGCAGCCTCAATAAGACGATTGAGAATTGGTAAAGTTATAGGCAACCTACTATCTAAGCGGAAGCCTTTCTTACCATACCCCTTTAATATTTGCGTTACGTAGAAAACTCTCGTTGGGTCCGGTAGATCGGACATGCGATGAGTATAACCCAGTGCAGATACATAAGTGTTAACTGTTGAAGAGGCGTACTTGAGGTCAAATAAGTACGCTATGAATAACGCGACGACTGAGGGCGACAAAGGCAAAGTGAACGATCCCTCATTAAAAATTGCCACATGAAATTGCGTAAAAAGTGCCCATGCCCGCTTATAAGTCGGCACTGAAGAAGGTTGCAAGCTACTTTGAGCTAATTGAGAAACTATAGTCGCCAATTTTCCGGCAGCAGGTGAAAGGGAATAGGCGTTGGAGCTCGATGCATGTCGGCCGGCGCCAATTGTGAAAATTTTTGGAGCTGTAAACGA